CATGGCCAGTGAATAGGAAGCTCCTGGTTTGCATGCAATGTACAGTACACAGTATGCAGAGGTTTATAGTAACTAAGTACATTTACTTGGTTGAGGATTTGTAATTCTACCAATTATTTTTTTAAATTGCTATTTTTACTTTAATTACATTTCAAAGCTAAAAATGATACCTTTACTTCTTTACTTTAAAAAGTAACACCGAGTTACTTGTTACAAAATTAAACATGTTTGAACTCATGAAAGATGTTTCTGCACTCTAAAAAAAYGAAGTGTTGAGTTTACTCAACAAAGTCATGTCAACTGTCTCCAATGAACCTAGTTGAGTAAATTGAGCAAATAATATACATATATTGCTCAATTTACTCAACCTGGCTTAGTGGAACCAGTTTGGTTCAGTAAATTCAATAGTTAGGTGTAACARTACTTTTACTTTCCCAATTTTTGTTAACAGTTTTATGACTTTTACTTGAGTAGTTTTTTCATCKGTGAAATTTATTTTTACCAAGTCATTTCCTGTTCATGTAATTTTACTTGTACTTAGTTATTTTTTTCAAGTACTTTATAGACCTCTGACAGTATGTTGGCAGTTAGAGGATGATGCATCTGCAGTACAAAAAACTCCAAAACAAACAGCTTCATCTAAGTCTAAGAAAAAAGWAAATTGTGGGTAACGGTTCAGAAAATTTGGACAGACATGCAAAGGTTTTTCTTCCTCTTTGCCTTCTGAATCATTTGGTTTTAAAAGGGCCATAATGTTAAACTTTAATCAGGCCAAGTCTAACCCCCAATTTACACTACATGAAGTTCCGCTCCGCTCGGACCTCTGCAGTACGTATGCAACCATTATAATCAATGAGAGTATTTACACTGGCACGGCACAGCAGCACAGGGCGTTGGCGAGAGGACGGCGATGCGCCAAAATTAGATTTAATCCTTTTTTTTGCTGGACACCGGAGCTGCTCCGGAGTCAATCTACAAAAATCACACCACACCAACAAGAAAAAAGGAACGAGCGCAACAGCTATAMATCTGTATTTTTAATTCACCAAAGGCAGACCCATTTTGCTGAAATCCTTGCTCTATTAATAAATACATTGGTATGTTTATACACAAATGATGTCAAAATGTATAATTCTTTTTTGGAAAGCAGATGGCAACATGTAGCTTCTTGGCGCTCCTCTGTGCTTCGTACTGAAGTGGAGTGGAGAGGTCACAGTAAAAATTGGAGTGGAAACAAATGACGGTGGAGCGGAACCGCGTGTAGTGTAAATTGGGGGTAAGAAAATGATTATCGAAATATTAACTGTAGTCATATACCATGCTGATAGCCTGGCCTTTGCATTCCTAAACAGTTCTGCTCAATTCTAGTTTCCCTTCACTGCTCTGTCTGGGATTTCTCCCATTGACAAGGATTTCTTCAGGRGAATTTTACCTGGGCCAGTCAGCGAACATAAGGAGGGGTTTTGAATGACAATGTTGATTTTCTGCGCAGTGTCTGCTAGTTAGTTTAGCAATGGCTGTGGAGGAAGTGAATGAAGCCAGTCAGTGTTGTCAAGGSTTCCAAACTAAATTACCGTATTTATTTGTGTATAATACAATCTCACGTATAATACGACCACCACTTTTTTGAGCTTAAAAAGCACAAAAAATTTAATCC